AATCACTTATGATTTAATTGATACCTTTATGATATTAAGTCTTACTTTCTAAGGGAATGGTATTTCTCCCCATTTATTCAAATGCACTTTTTATGCCTTTGTAAGGTTTTAAAGACTTCTTTATAAAGGCTCTAAATAAGTTTTGATTGGTTTATTCCTGCACATCTATATTTTCTCTGTTGTAAATTGAATACTTTCTCTTCATTGTTCTTCTAGCCAGTTGTTGTTAATATATAGAAAACTTATTCATTTTTGTATACCCAATTTTTACTCACAGACTGACTAAATGCTCTTATTCATTTTGAAAGATCTTTAGTTCGTTGGAGCTTGCCAGAACAATAATTATGATGAGAATTCAAGAAATAACAATGTTAGGAATTATTTTCAAATACTTGCTGCTTTTGTCTTCAGGGTTGAGATAATTAGCAGGGCCCAGAGTAGACTCTTTTCTGTTTTCCCAGAATACAACAGAGAAAGCCACTCATATTTCAGTGTTAATTGTGCTGTTAGCTAGGTTCTTTAAGATAAGCTGGTGTTCATAAGAATTAGTTGAATTTTTGTTAAAAAATACAGAGTTGTCTCACTAGTGTCAAATGCAGAGACTATGCAACCATGGTGTGTTCACCTGTGTTTGTTAGGGTTTTATTGCTGTGAAGAGACACCATGACCAATGCAACTCTTTATAAAGGAAAACCTTGAACTGAGGCTGGCTTACAGTTTCAGAGGTTTAGTCCATTATCATCATGGCAGGAAGCATGACAGCGTGCAGGCAGACCTGGTGTTGGAGGAGCCGAGAGTTCTACAACTTGATCCACGGACGGCAGATGGAGACTGCCACACAGGGCATAGCTTGAGCATAGGAGACCTCAAAGCCCACCCTCACAGTGACACACTTTCACCAACAAGGCCACACCTACTCCAACAATGCCAATTCCTCCTGATAATGCCTCTCTCTATGGGCCAAGCATTCAAAACATGGGGGAACCATATCTATTTAAATTACCACAATACCTGTAAGCTGTACATCTATGTCACACATCCTCCCCACAGCACTCAGACCCCATTGCAGAAAAGGGGTGGAAAGACAGTGAGAGCCAGAGTTCGGGGAGGACTGAAATAAAACACTGTCCTTTGGACATGACAGAGAGAGCTATTGCACTCATGAATGCAAAGAGCTAAGGTTGCCTACCCAAGACCCACAGAAGATCAAACCATTCAACAGTACAGCATGAATCTAGAATGGAAATACACGCCTAGACAAGAAGATATTGACAGTTGATGGCTTGGAGGGAAGGAAGAGTCAGTTTTCTTTGGGAGTGAGCTCCCTTTGGTAAGTTACCCATGCTTCAGTAGATGCTTCTATAACTATGAACATATAGGGGTCACTAATTAATTACACTCCGTAGATAATAAAAATAGAAGAAGAAGAAGAAGAAGAAGAAGAAGAAGAAGAAGAAGAAGAAGAAGAAGAAGAAGAAGAAGAAGAAGAAGAAATCAGGAAGAAATCAGTTTGAGAGAGGGATGTTGGGGAGTATAGGGAGATTAAAATGGGGAGGGGAATATGATATAGATGAGTATGAAATTCTTAAAGAATAAATGAAATATTAATCCTTTAAACTAAAACACAACACAGACCCTGGAACTTATTTCCACAATCTAGAGGTGTGAAATGAGGTTCAGCAGTCAAAGTTTGTGTCTGGCAACTTAATTCATTCCATGGAATGTAAGTCAGCCTCTGCCTAAAGAAACACTCATTATACTAAAATAACATTCTCCCGTGTGCAATTGAATTTTATCAAATCCTTCCTTATCCTCCATAAAATATGAATTTTATCCTTTAGTGAAATGATATGATAGATTCTAATGTCAAATTGGTTCAGTTAGGTTATTAAAATGGTCCCTTTAATTGCACTTTAAGCAATTACATTCTTACATATATAGTCATAAACAAGCTTGGTTTTGAGATCAGCTTGGAGTTTACTTTGTCATGACATTATTTTTTTTCCAAAAGCAGGCATGTTCGAGCTTAAAAAATGAATCAGAAACATTTCATAGACATCTATGCTTTCATTTAAGACATGTACAAATAAATGTGTATGTACATATATAATGTATGATACACACTGTCATCTCAGGTTTCAAATTCACTTCCTTACAAACTTTTGGGGTCTGATGAATTTATTTATGGCTGCACCTTCAGGGGAAGGTGATCAAAGAGCCAGCCACTGAATTCATGTCAGAGACAGTCCCTGTTCCCATTATTACTAGGGAACTCACTTGGACCGTGAGCTGCCACGGGCTACATCTGTGCAGGGGTTCTAGGTTATCTCTCTGAGTGGTCCTTGGTTGGAGTATTGGTCTCAGAAGAGACCCTTATGTTGTGTGTTGTGCCCAGATTTCTTTTGTGTGTGTGTGTGTGTGTGTGTGTGTTACTCAACAATTAAAAACAAGGAAATCATGAAATTTGCAGGCAAATGGTGGAAACTAGAAAAGATCATCCTGAGTGAGGTATCCCAGAGCAGAAAGACACACATGGTATATACTCACTTAAAAGTGAATATTAGACATATAATATAGGATAATCATACTAAAATCTGTACACCTAAAGAAGCTAATCAAGAAAGAAGACCCTGGTAAGATGCTCAGTCCTCATTCAGAAAGGCAAATGGGATGGACATTGGAAGAGGGAATAAAGAGGGAACAGGACAGGAGCCTACCACAGAGGGCCTCTGAAAGATTCTACCCAGCAGAGTATCAAAGCAGAGGATGAGACTCATAGCCAAACTTTCGGCAGAGTGCAGGGAATCTTATGAAGGGGGAGAAGAAAGACCTGGAGGGGACTGGAGCTCCACAAGAAAAGAAAAAAAAATCTTTTTAATTCTTAACAGTGAGGGGTTCAGTTGTCTTCACTTGTGTTCCAAGCTTTAAGCATTTGAGAATCATTAGGTTTTTCTTAAGATCACTTTGAACTCAACCAGTGTGTTTTAACTCATAGTCCTAGATTCTTTCTGATGTATTCTGAACCCAATTAATATTTGTCCTTTCACTATAAAAATACTGCTTAATAAGTACTTTCCCCTGAGAATTTCGACAGTCACTCCCACAAGTTTTATTCATTTATATGATGTTGTTTGAGTGTAGTCTCCCCGTTTCCCCACCAGTATCTCCCAGATCTACTCCTCTCTCTCTGCACCTCCTCCAAACATCATGCAATTTCTTTTCTTTTGTAACCCACCGTGTCCATTTTCTGCAGCCTGTAAATTCATGGGCTTGAGGCTACCCACTGGAGTACAGGCAACCTACCAAGGGCCACAGCTTTAAAGAAAATTGGCTACCCCTCTCCTAGCAGCCAGCAACTGCCAATTACTCCTCAGTGAGGAGTGGGAGCTGGTGAGTCTCCTACCCTCTCCATGAAGAAATGTTGACTGGCTTGAATTTGCACAGGCCTTGTGAAGGCAAAGCACAGCTGCTGTGTGTTCTTGAGTGTCACATCCCTATAATTTCCAGAAGACTGCTTCGCTCTGGTCTTCCCCAATCTATGACTCCTAGAATTTTTCCACTCCCTCTTCCAATATCGTCCCCAAGCCTCGGTATGATATAGAGGTCCTCGGTGTGATATGTGGCCAAGAAATCCCCTAACTCTTATTCTCTGCCCTTTGACCAGTTGTGAGTTTCTGAGCTGATCACTTTCCACAACACAAAGAAACTTGTTTGATGTGGTATGAGCGGTGCATTGATATAGGGGTACGAAGATGTGAATTGAGAAGAGACTTTGATTACTATGTCCATGTAAGCAAGACAATGGTAGAAGGTTCACTGCTGGCATAGGAGCTCCCTCAGCTGGGTTCTTGGCCAGATTTCCTGTATTATGTATGTATTTCCTCTTGTGAGCAGGCCTCAAATCCAAACAGAAAATTAATGGTTATATTTATAACATTTGTCCCAAGAGTATACCCAAGGCCATATCTCATCAGGCTGGATGTTATTGTAGCTCAGAGTGTTCACAGGTGGGTGAGGCTGTTGATTACCCCGTACCTACCCCCAGCACCCCACCTAGGTCCTTCCTATAGTACTTCCATAGTACTGTGGAAGCTAGTCAGCAGGAAGGATGCTTCTCAGTCAGCACCAACTTGACTTTTCATGTCCTGTGACCAAAGTATGTGGTGTTTTCAGCAAGAGTGTCTTATCCTCATGTTCTGGTGGACAAACAAGAGGAGTGTTAGCAGCCTATGCTGCTGGGGGTGATCTCTGGAACATCTGCAGTCAACACTTTAAGAAGAGGCAGACGGCACCTGACACTTTTTGTTTGGCAAGCATGGCTTTTGAGAGGAACATTGACCCCCGGTGTGGGGTAACTCTTCTTTATGAATGTGGCATTGACTGTTCTCATTCCTCTTGGGGAAGCATCACAGAATTTACATGACCTCAATCATGTAAGTGTGGCATGGGCCAAGGAAAACAGCTTTGTAATCTTTGCTCTTGAATTAAAAACTTCTAAAATATAGACACGTACACATATTCATGAGTGCAAATGCGTATACTGGCATTCCATACTTCCTTACAGCACCTTATCGACATTCACCAAATGTACTTTACATCCTGGTGCTTATTTGATATGCCCAGTATTTATAGAGGTTCACATTTCTTACCTCTACTATGCTTCGGCCATTTGCACTTCAAGAATTTTGATACGGTACTTTCCATCCATGATGTCTGATGACGACTATGTTTTCACAGTAAGTTCTCAGTTTAATCAACATTAAGTTCACATGTTTTTCATGTCGTTTAATTAAAACTTTTATCATCAAGGCTAACTACATGTTTCTTATTATCTTGATGCTTTTTTTGACCTGGTTTCTATTTTTAACTATCACCATCATAATCGATGTTCAACACTGATTAACATTAACATTTATGTTTGCTTATGCATCTTTTCCACATTTTCTGATTTTCAACTTTTTATATGTCTTGTTTCAGAAAAAAAAACACACACACTAAAATTGTTGTTGCTATCGGTTTATTAACAATCCAAGCATCTCTGTCTAATGATGGGAAGTTTGGCCTATTTGTGCACATGTGCAGGCCGGGACATAATATAAGGCACTGTCCCTCACTCACTCATCCACCTAATATTTGAGATTAGTATCTCCCCAAGCCTTGAACTCACTGTTTCAGATAGGCTGGTTGGCCAGGAGGTCTCAAGGCCCACCTGTGTCCTCTACCACTCACAGGGGTTATATTATGCATTTCTGCACCCGATTTTTATGTAGTGCTAGGGATTGAACCCAGGTCCTCACGCCTCACCCACTAAACCATCTCCCTACCCCTTCTGTGAGAGTACAGATGTCTTCATTAGTCTTTTGTCCCGAGGTTGGCGTGGTAGTTACTCAATTCCTCATTTAGTAGTCCCTAGCACATTTCACAAAACATTCGTCAATCTATTTTAAGGATTAAATGTTAGGTTTTGAAGTTTTACTTTAAAATAATGAATGTAGTGCGCTCCTCTTCAATCTCCCCTTATCAGCCCAGCGTTACTTATCTGTAGTAAATGCAATTCTGATGCCCACGTTCAATCTTGTATCCATCCATAACAATTATTTAAACTTTCTCTTTGTAACCCAGTTAGGATTAACTAGCGGTACTCCCTTGTCTAGATTTTGTAATCCTTACATTTTTAATTTGCTTCATCCATCAGCTGGTGAACATACAGATTCCAGTAAATCTCTCAGGTTGGGTCCCTGAAGGACTGTGATAGCGTTGTCTTTTACACTTTGATCACAAATTAATTGTTGTTGTTTGTTTTAAATTTTTTTTTACTGAATTTATCTTTGACAGTCTTATACATGTGCATTTTGATTCCTGTAACCTCTCTCCCACTCTCATCAGCTGCCTATCCCTATTCTTCCCCTCTCCCTACAAATCTCTTTCCCATCTTCATAGAGACAGGCTCTCATGCATTCCAGGGTAGTGCAAGCCTCAAACTTGGTATATAGCCAGAGCTGCCCTTAACCTTTTAATTCTCCTGCCTGCACATTCCCTCCCTCTCCCAGTGCTGTGATTACAGAACTGTACCACCCCAGTCTGATGAGTTGGTTGCAAATTAGCCTCTTCTTTCCATCCACATTCTGCATATTAATAATTGCTTTTTGGACTTTCAGGTCTCAGAACCCTTTCATTTGCAAAGGGGACATTTGTGATCAGAACAATTTTCTTCTTTTGTTAGTGACTTAACATTTTTTTTTCCTCTTTTTGTCCCTGGAGGTGATTTTGCGTGGAGATTAGATGCACTGAGTTTGGTTTAGTGAGAGCATCTGTGCTCAAATGCTGGGTTAGTCATTTAACACTTGCATGGCTGTGGTCCATTTACTCCTGTGCTTCTGTTTGCTCACCTGCAAAGTGGGAATGATCAGCACATGTTTTTTTTTTTTTAATAGTTTGATGTATGAGTGTACATGTGTGTCTGCACAGGTGTGTGTGTGTGTGTGTGTGTGTGTGTGTGTGTGTGTGTGTGTGTGTAGGGGGATGGATTTCCTAAGGAGGTCAGAAGACCACAGTAAGATACTGGCTGAGAAGCCCATTTTGTGGACGGTTTATTCTTTTTGTTTTTTCTTTTTGATTTTATAAACTCTATTATAAAAATTGCAACTGAACGGAAACATCGCACACCCAAATTAACCAGATCCAAAGCCTATACAACTCACTGAACTTCTATACAGTTAGAATTGGCATTTGAAATGGAAACTGTCAAGCTTTACATTCATTTTTATACTTTCACTATTGACTACAGTTTGTGCGCCTCCGCCACCAAACCCAGAGGCTCCGAGACAGAATTAGAACGAGAAAAGCAAACAGCTTTCTGTTCTCTTTCATAACTCTCACCGTTTACCTGCATCTGGTCCTCCCTCATTTACTTGCATTTAGCCTTTCTTTTTGTCTTTAGAGCTGAGTAATATTCCCACATATATGTATGTATTTGCAAATATGTGTGTGTGTGTGTGTGTGTGTGTGTGTGTATACATACATACACACACACATGGCAAATTCTCACTTGTTGATGGACAGCTAGGTTGATTCAAGTTCTTTGCTATAGTGAATAAAGCAGCGGAAACTGGACTGTTTGGCCAATCCCTTTGTTCTTCTCTTTTTTTTTTTTTGTCATTTATTTTCATTTTGATAATTTAGAAGAATGTCGCCTTGGGGCTGGAGAGACAGCTTAGCAGTTAAGAATATTTGTTGCTCTTGCAGAAGTTCCAGGCACTCACATGGTGGCTCACAACTACCTAAATAACTCAATTCCAGAGGCTTCTATGCCCCCTTCTCCACCAGCCTGCGCACACGTGGTACACATACATACATGTCGGCAAAACACCCATACACATAAACTCACTGACAATTGGTCTTTCAAAACAAAACGAACGTTATCTCTTTCTGCCTTCACTCCCTTGATGTTTTACCTTAGTTAACACAACACTCCCCGACGCCGGGAATGCAGCCATCAAGTTGACTGCCAGGGAGGCAGAGCTCTCCACAGGGCAGCACGCCCCTAGTCTAGACTCTCTGTGACTCCCCTCTTACTGGCACACAGGCGTGGCTAGTGAGCAGGCTTCACACAACTGCTGGCTACCACACTTTAAGGACAGGGTCATCTCTCACTCTCAAATTCCATCTTGCTTCTTAAGACGTCACTGTAACCCCTCTCACCTCGAAGGCTCTCCAGTCCCCTCTGATTTTGATACCCACCCCATGTCCTGCTTCCGTTTGTCACCGTACTTCTTCGGTTCTGGTGCTATGCTCCATTCATCTTTTCTTTCTCCAGGTAGTTGACGCTTGAGGGCTGAAATGGTGCATAATTAACTTTTACTTGGTACAGCACTTGGCATGCGCTTGGCAGACCTTTGTTGGGCGATTGAAGAATCGGACGCTGTGCGTGGAGCTGGAATTGGACTGGCCTCCCACCTTATTGGCCTGTATCCTCTTCCTCAGCCGCTGCTGTTTGTTGGTTTCCTCTCCTCAGGGAGCTAGCCACACCAGGTGAGGCAGTTGGGGGTCTTAAGTGAGAAAACGAGAATTAAACAGTGAGCTTAGAAGGTTCCTTTTGAGCTCGTCCCGTGCCCTAGCAGGCGACGTTAAAGGCTATATCTGAGGTCCCCATGTGCAGCTGCCCAGGGCACTACCTGCTGCCCGCCTCCAGGTCCCCCATTTCCTAAGCGCCGCCAGGTTCTGGCAGAAAAAGAAACTCCCGCGCAATCATGTGAGGAAGATGGAGGTGACAGGGGCTTCTCTGTTAATGAGCAGTGGGTTGGACTGGGCACTAGGAAGGTTAAAGGTGATTTCCCAGGTGGTTCCACTGAAAATTCCGACTCACCTACTTAATTCAGGTAGCCTGATGGCCAGAAGCAGACTAAAGCAATTAGGGCGCATGCGCCTCTCTCTCTTAGGAGCATTCTCAGCCAGATTACTCCAGGAACTCTCCATTAGGCCAGTGCCCAGCCCAGAGGAGGAGGGGCTTCATCCTGAGCCTACTGTCTCCCAGGCATGAACAATTTGGGGCTCTTGTTTAGTAATAATAAAGACAATAATAGCGAATCAGGACGTAGTGACTTTACCAGGGACTCTAATTGGCTCTAACCCCCTGTTGAAATTTGATTCTATTTAACAGCTACTTTTAAGCTGCTAAACATGTTCAAATGATTAGATTTGGGGGGATTAGAGGGAGAGATGGTGAATTAATAGCTTATCATATAATGAGAAACCACATTTGAGAAGCACATCTCTGTGCTACAGTCCACTAAATAGCTGGGAGCTACTGCTAGAGTCAGATTAAAACATCAGGGTCACAGGTCAGGGTAATACCCATGGGCGTCTGGACATTAGGTTTGAATCCCACATTTACTCCATTATATCTGTGGTTTGAGGGCCACTACAACATGGGGATGATAGCTGAATGGTAATTGGATTTGACTGAGACCAGGGCTGACCTTTGACAAGCGCTCCGTGAATGAGACTGCATATTAAGAATCTATAATCTAAAAATCTGAAATTCAAACTGCTGCAGAATGCCCAACTCCTGAGTTTCCTATCTTGGAGCACTTTAGGTTTTCAACCATTCCTCTTGGACATGGTCTGCCGGAAGTCTCTGAAAACGTGTCCGAATCCAAAGTCCTGAAATCTGGAACCCTCCCAACCACAGCATTTTGAATACGGGATACTCAATCTGTAATGTTACCGCTGACTTGCCAAGATCTCACAGTGGTGTGTATAGATTTGAATAGGGGTTACTTCTGAGGGGTGGAGCGGTGCGTGCTTGTGTGTGTGTGTGAGTGTGTGTGTGTGTGTGTGTGTGTGTGTGTGTGTGAGTGTATGCTTGTGTGCACATGCCGGAAGTTAATGTATGGGATTTTTCTCGATCATTTTATTTTTTAATTTACTGAGGCAGGGTCTCTTGCTGAACCTGGAGTTTGCCAATTAGGCTAGTCTAGCTAGTCGGCTCGCTTCGAGGAATCTGTGTCCCCACCTTCCAACAGGCTGGATGCCACTGCCACCTAGCTTTCTGTGTGGCCACAGGGGATCCCAACTCTGTCCTTATGCTTGCATGGTAAGAACTTGCTTTATCAATTGAGCCATCTCCGTGGCCACCTCTGATTCTTATTCTCAGTTCATCACCTGACGTATCTAATAATACTTTTTTTTTCATCTTGACTTAAAAAAAAATCTTTTATTTAAAAACTGTTCTTTCACCCACCAAAAAATATATTGGTGACCTCTACATTGAGCAGGTATGAGTCTGTCCTCCCAAACATCTGCATTAAGCAACAACAAAAGAGATAGCAAATTGCATTGTAATCACACAGTATCTGTGATGGAAGCCTGCCTGTGATACAGTAGATTTGCTGAGTGCATCAAGGCCGAGATGATGAGTAGTAAATACTGGTTAAGGCTCAGGCATCAAAGCCAGAGGATGGTAGATGATGGTGGGAGAGGCTTTCCTGGCAGTGGTGGGGGTATGGTGTTTGCGGGGCAGAGAGCGAAGGAGGACAGAGAAGGTGAGAGACAGGAGGAGTAAGTGGGGGCCAGATTAGGAAGGGTCCTCTATGATGTGCTGTAAGGTTGTGTTTTGCCTCATAGAGACTGCAGGTTCAGTGAATCGATTGGATTAGAATGATGCCATTGTCAAATTAATATTTTAGCAGCTTTTCAAGTGGAGCAGAACACACTAGGCAAGAGAGGGAAGTGAACAAGGGTCCAGGTTCCAAGCACGATGCTCTGTGTCTCAAAGCTAAGCCTGTCAGCTCCTATTCGCTGATGGGCTTCACTGATAAGCTGGAAAATAAGGAGGAACAGGCTGGGAGGGTACTGGACTGTAGGCCATGGGGTGGGAGTTCAGGAAGTCATGAACAGGAGCGTCCTCAGTCATCATGAAACTCAGAGTGAACCACAGCATGGCCTTGCAGGTGTAGAATGTAAGTAAACAATGAAACCGTGGAGGGAAAGGAGTGGATTCAAGGAGGCTAGAGGTGTCATTGATGGAGACATGGAAATCAACAGGGATGATGGTGAACATGAGCTAACGGTTCAAAATGGAATTCGGGTGCCAGTATCTTGATATTTTGATGACCATGGGGTCAGTAGACAGCACAGAGGAGATAAGGAGCCTGGCACGACAATCTCTGGGCACTAGGAGAATTGAGGTGTCGGAGAACAAGCCCCCTTCCCTTGAGGAAGCTTCCAGCAAGCTACAGTCTTGCAAGAAGCTGGAAGTGAAATCAGAGACCTAGACTTTAGTTGAAGCAGAGAGCAGAAAATGGATACAGTGATGGAGAGATTAAAACCAGAGAGGATTTTAACAACAGGGATCTTGGGGCATGGTGGGAGTAGGGGATGGTGGTGGTCCCAGAAGAACTGAAGAGAAGCCAGTAGTGAAAACAGAGAAAGGCATTCCCCTATTTGCCTTTTTTGCCTTGGCCCTTGACCTACTTTAATGCTACTGTAATTGACCAGCCTCAACTCTCCCAACCCAATCCCTAAAACAAAAACAAAAACAAAACAACAACAAAAAACCAACCCAATTGTTGTCTCCCTAATGCTACTCTCTCCTGGTTTATTTTCAGTCTCTCAGGCTAAGTTTCATTTATTTTCATTCACTAGTTATTTGTTGAAAATTGCTTTGTGCTTTCTGGTCCCCTCTCTACTCCTCTTGTTAAACATGAGAGCGCTTCAACTCTGTGCATCCGCTAGACTGTGTCTCGATTGGGTACTGTCAATGTGCTGATGGCCTCAATTCCCACCTGTACTGCAAGCGTTCTCTACCAACCCAGATCTTTCTTTCATTGAGCTGAATATTTCATTTCATAAATTCCCACCCTTGTGTACCAACCGCCAGGTATCCAAGCTCACTCCAGAGTGCTAGAGAAGTGTCATTCTGTACATCAAGGCTGCTTCTCCCAAGGTGTTCTCTCTACTCATGAACAGTACCCTGATGCCTCCCTGCAAAGCAGGAGAACAATAGAAACCCAAGCTTGTGTTCACTAGGATATCCATAGTGCTTAGAGCAGTAGTGTATGGCACATGGGAGGTGCTCATATTCGTTTGTTGAATGAATGCATGCACAAATGCTTGCTGTGCCTTCTCCACCACCATGCCCATTCAACCAGACTTAAGTTATCCCACTTTGGGCCTGAAAAGCATGTCTCCTTAAGACATGTATCCTTTCCTATTCATTATTCTCCGATTTCAGTGCCCACCTTCTTGGGAAGGTGCCAGGCTTCTCTACCATGTACTAGGCCTATTTTTCTAGGTTCCTAGGTATACCAGAGCACACTGTGTAGAACAGACTCCTAAACACTGCCATAAGGGAGGTGTTAGAGACAACAGTTAGTTCTTTAGACCTCTGAGGCAAAAGAACACAGAGACTTTCTGCCAAATACAAAATATTATTCTCTTTAATAACACCATACAACTTTGACCAATAAACTAGCTGTTGGGATTTACTGGAATTTCCCACAGAGGGTTCTACACAATCTAAGGAGAACACTGGAGAGGGAGTTTTCAGGATCCAATGAGCCTAGAAAGATGAAACATGGGGAGCGTGCCTTGAACCATACTACCCATGAGAGTATTAAAGAAACTAGCAGTTCCCTAAGTAAAAAAAAAAAATAAATAAATTAAAGCTTAACTTCATTTAATTCAGCATTTTACTCCAATTTTTAAAAGACAAATCTTTTTTTTTTTTAGAACATTTCAATGAACAGCCAAGAGAATTAACATTCTGTGAAACATTATTTAGAAACTGGAGAATTACACTCCTTGAAAGTGGGCCTCGCTTTTACCAAAAACGCATAAAATACTTTCAGAAACCACAATTTAGCAGAATAAAAATAGTAAACATGAACCCAGTGATCAGCTGCAGTGTGAAGATGAGATTGGCAGTCTGAGCAAAGCTGTTGATGTTGGATAACAGCTGGATGCCTTAGCTGCTGCTAGAGCCTCAAGATCAAGAGGTACAGTATGCTTCAGAGTTTAAGAGAGCATGGCGGAAGGACAAGCCAGATGTCTTGACAGACAGAAAGCACTTGCCATGCAAGCCTGACGGCCTGAATTTGATACTCAGAATCCATCATGGAAGGAGAAACAAAACTCCCAAGGGCTATCCTCTGACCTTGGCAGATATGTGCACTGTAGGGCGCAAGCTCCTGAACACACACAAACTCATACACACACACACACACACACACACACACACACACACACACACACGAGAGGGGGAAAACACACACACAATAACAACACATTAAAATTAAAAAGAGAACATGGCAAAAAAATAATTTAAATTTTAAATCTGAATAAATCGAACCTGCTAATCTTTTGGACAGGGAGAAACAGCATCTTTCTGTCATGTCAGTCAGTGGTGGACTTCTTAATCTGGTTGAAAACTTCACCAGGCATTGATGAGCTCAGCAAGAGAGGAAGTATGCTAAAATGCAGGCTGGACTACACACGTATCATGCCCAAAGCACACACTGTGCACCTGCCCTTTGGTTTCACTTTTTCAGAGGACTCAGCTGCACTGGAGTCTGTCAACATGAATCCCTCCCTGGCTGACCTCACTGCCCCTGCCAGACAGCTGTGCTGACTCAGACATTTTGTCATAGCTCTCCACCCCCAGCATGCTGCTCTTTGCTCCTTTGCTGGGAGTCAGAGCAGCAAATGAACTTTCTGTTAGATGCTAGTGGGCTGATAATTCCACAATTCAACATACTCAGCAATTTGACTGTGTGTTCAGTTTATACCAGAATTGTGACCCCCCGGGCTCCAGAGAAGATATTTTGGATAGAGACATTGTAAGAGGTTATAAACCCGGTAACTTCGGTTCCTTTGTTCCAAGTGACATTTGGTTTAGAGTCTAAGATCAAACAATCAATTACACATTAAGAACTTAGGAAGCACATCTTTTGGTTTTTTTTTTTTAATCAAAACTATATCTAGGATCACATTTTTAATTTGATGTGCGAGAAACACAAATACAAAGTCATGATGAACTGTACAAGAAAAAGGCACCAACAGATCCAAATACAAGATCACCATCCCCATAAATACCATTTAAAACAGTGAAGTGGGCCAAGGTGTGTGCCTGCTCATCTGTCACCAGGGGTATGGAGCAATTCCTAAGTGGAAAGAGTGTGTTACCTGTACCAGGACATCTGGAGAACAGAGGCTAAGACAATATCTGACGATGGGGTCCTACAATCCAGTCAGAGAGGAGAGATGAGCTCTGGGGTTCTACAGCAAAGTGAGGTGCCCATACCTACTAACTATTTATGTGTGTCAGATGGGAGGGAGAATTCAGGATGTCCCCAACTCTAACAATTCTTGTCTCGTGGCCATAGCATTCTATGACCTGCCTTGTCTTCTCCCTCTCTATTGATGCTCCTCTTTGTCCAGTTTCCCTCTGCCTCACACCGAAAAAGATACCTGTCACCAGATTTACGACCCACAGAGATATTATGGGTGGACATGAGATTCTTATATCAAAAGGCCTTTTTGCTAAAAAAGGGATTAACCAGTTTCTGGAAACTGGATAGTAAGCACAAATCTTTTGGAGAAGCACACCCAACCCTCCATTCTTGGGTATTTATTGTGTTGGTGCTCCTCATTCCTTCACATGGATCCAGATTCACACCAGTGCCGTTTCTTCCATGTGAAGGAATCCCTTAAGCCAGGGATGACTTCTTTCAGCCTTAGTATGTTCTAGCAGTCCTCTTGACTTCATTTTTGGAAGGCACTTGTCTGTGCAGTGCGGGCTGACAGGCTTTGCTTTAGATACCTTTAGGCATCATTCCACTGTTACCGTCTTACGCTGTTCCAAGGCAGAAGTCTGTTGTTGTTTTCAGTGAGGTGTCTATTCATATGCCATGCTCTCTGTCTTCCTCTACAATCATTCTCTTTATCAATGGTCTTAAGCAATTTGATCACTTTGCATTGGAATTATTTCCTGCATTCTGTTTACTTATGTTTCACTAAACACTTGGGACTGTGACTCTAGATAACTCTGGAAAAAAAGATGGAAAGACTTTCCAGGTATTGAGACTTATTGACAACATATCATGGACTCATTTTAAGAACAGACAAGATGAATGGAACAGAATATATATATATGTATACATATACACGCACACGTGTGTGTGTGTGTGTGTGTGTGTGTGTGTGTGTAATCCAAATGGTCAGTTTTATTGAGTGGACTTAGATGTTTTCAATCCTTTTGTCCATTCAAAAACTAGTATATTAAAGTCTCTCATTACTCCCTCTCAAAGCTCTTGTTCCTGGTTTATGTATGTGTTGCTGTGCTATTTCCAAACATAGCTGCTATCTCTTCATTGTGGAATGTGTTTAAGTTTGTTGTATGCTCTTGTTTGACTTAATACTTTCAGGATTACATATTCCTCAACTGCTCTCATAGTCACAATTCCCATTTTGTTATTGCTTCTGTGAATTTGTCCAATATTTGCCCATTCCTTTCTTCTTCTAGTCATTTTGAATCACCATTTAAGTCTTTTTTGATTTTGCCTGATGAGTCAATTTGAAAACTAATCATTTCCTTTTAACAGGTAGCTGAAGCCCATTAACATTTTAATGTGACTATTATGTTTTGTCTAATTCAGTTATATTATTTTATTTTAGAATTACCAAGCATACCATATTTTTGTGACATTTGTCATATTTTCTTGTGGTTTAATTTTTGTCTTTTAAAACTTGTTTTAGTACTTATAAAGGCTCATAGTTACATTTGTATCCATAGTGTACAATTAATCTCCGTATATGTATGTATATCTGTGTGTGTGTGTGTGTGTGTGTGTGTGTGTGTGTGAGGTGGGGATGTGAGAGTGTATATGTGTGCTTGTTTATTTTTCTCTTCATCAGTGTGTAAGTCAGGCTAGTTACTTGGCTCAAAGTCTTCTGGAGATTCCCCTGCCTCTGCCTCTCACCTCCTCAAACAGGCATCTTAGGTCTATAGACCCTTGTCTGATTTATTGGCTCCCGTGGGAGTTCTGGAAAGATGAACTCAGATTCTCAGGTTTATATGACAAGTGTTTTATTCAATGAGTCATCTTCCCAGACATCTATACTTTTTCTGTGACATCTTACCATCTTATACATCAGTTACAAATGACTTTTCAAAATTATTTTAGTTATGCGTACCTGCTTGAGTCTGTGTATGAGTAGGAACACATGATTGCATGTGTCCCAAAGGCATTTGATTTCCCGGGCACTGAAATTATAGTTGGTTGCCAGCTTTCTCCATGTAGGTTCTGGGAATCAAACTCAGGTGCTCTGAAAGACCACTGTATACTCATAGTCTTAACCACTGAGCCACCTCTCCAGCCCCACAAATGTTTTTTTTTTAACTTCCACTTATTAACTGCATAATAAAATCCATCCCTGAAATAAGCTTGTTCAATAAGTTGAGCAAATTTCTAACCATTTGAAGAATTAGATTTTTTTCCTTACTTCTGGACCTAGGTATGAAAAGCAAAATCAATACTGCCACTCTTAGAAGCAAATATGTAAACTAACTTTATGACCTTGAGTGGGGAAGAAATACTCCAAATAACTCATAGAAAGTATTAGCAAATAAGTACACTGTGAAATACTATCATGATATTCAATATTACCACACTGAAATTAAAATTTAAAAATATCTTAGCAATTAAAGACATGCATGAGACAGCTATGATTTTCAAACCCATGAATCCAAGCAACAGTTCTGATCTTTTCTCCAAATTATAGAGAAAACTCAAGTCTCAGTATGGAAGACTATAAAGGAAGTGAGTCTAATATTGGATGCAGAAGAATGCCACATTAATAAGAGATGGGATAATTTACTGACTTTCTCTTTCAGCAAATTTTAGAAAATCAGGAAGATACTCAGCATCACTGAATATCACCAAAATATATTGAAACCTCAAATGAAGACTAGTTTTTAGATCGAGAAATCTGATGTTTGACTAAAACTATTTATGGAGATGTAAGACAGTGCCAATTAAAAGATGTTGATGACAACAATTTGACAGTGGTCAAAAAAAAAGATATAATGCACATGCATAAATACATATATTTTTTTCTTGTGATGGTCTTATATCCATGCACATATGGGCAGAGCTAACTACTGGACTTAAAGTGGCAATTTTCAGCTTTCCTAATTCTGTGACCCTTTAATATAAGTCCTCACATTGTGGTGAGACCCAAACATAAAATTATTTTGTTGATACTTTAATATCTGTAATTTTGCTACTGTTGTGAGTCATAATGTAAATATCTGACATTCAGGTCACAACTCACACTTTAGAACCACTGACTTAGAGGTTTGTTGTTGTTGTTGTTTAAAGAACATGTGTTTGGGAGGAAGATATAATTGGGGAGTTGTGATGGGAGTTGGAGGGTGGAAATTGGAGTAAATATGATTATATTTCATAATGTACCTCAAGAATAAAGAAAAATTAAAACAAAAGGGAAGCATATATGAAAGAATATCCTTAGCATCATTTTTCAATAGAGAAAAATGGAAACAAATTCAGAGTTAATCAACAGGAAAATGGAGAAATAATTTATGAAGTTATTATACAGTAGATATCTGTAATAGCTGAATGATATAAATCTTTATGTATCTACATGACTAAATCTCAAAAACATCACTTTGACGAAGGCAACTTGCAACGTATTATATAGTGTGTGAAACCATTCACATGTACATGAAGGACGACAAACATTAGCTCACTGACATTTACAATACACAAACAAATAGCATCAAGCAGAGATCAAATGACAAACGCCAAATCCATGCTGATGGCTGACTCTGGCGTGGTGAAAAGAAACAGAATTGTGGAGGAGCCCATTGTGTCTCTCAGAATATTCAGTCTAGAAGTAATCTGCGGCAAACAACTCAGACTAGAGTTTAATATATTGGGTTTAGGGACAGATGGGTATTTACTGTATGACTACCTACCTTTTAAACATTATTTAGTTTCTGTAGATGTGTTTTGGGCGTGCATGTGGGTCTCTGCACCAGGTGTGTGTAGTGCCGGCCAAAGTCAAAAGAAGGTACAACTGGAGTTGAAGAAGGCTATTTAGGAATCAAGCCCTGGTTCTCAGGAAGAACAGTCAGTGTTCTTAACCGCTTGGCCATCACCCCAGCCCCCATTGCCTATCTTTTATGTGAAAAATATTTCATAACTTATATGAAGATAAGCACCCTGTGGTAGCCCTAAAACCAACAGTAAATAAACTGGAAGAAAAGGCCATGGGTATGTAGAGGTTTCTTTTCTTGTCTTTACCAGGAAAGACATTAGCTCATGGGCCATTCTTGGTGTAAACCAAGCTGCTTCTGATCCAGACAGCCTGGGTGGTAGTCTAGCTGGAGAGTTATCCCCTTCTCTCTGGTGAGCTTCCACCATGGGCTTGTGATGGTTAGTTAACACTGAAAGTGATTATTATGCTGTCACAGCAAGGCCAAGTTCT